TCTTACGGGGAACATCTGACCATGAAACCGGTGGGGCAGAAAGTCTCTAACTAGGCAGAGAGTCACTAACAAAGAGAGGTCATGCCTTAGTTATGCAGAAGTTCCCTATTCTCTGTAGCTGGAGTGGGGCAGGGGGAAAGGGGAGGAAGGGGCTTGCTTTGTGGGGGCTCTGAAATACCTAACATCCCAGCCTTTGATTTGTTATGGAACTGGGGTGGCGGTCTCTTCTTCCGTATCTACTTTCTGCTGATCGGGGACGAAGTTGTGGGGGGAGTGGGAGGTGGTCGGGAAGTTGGCACAGCGCGGGAGCCTCTGCGGCGCTCTTGTTGGCCACGCTTTCGTAGATGTTGCCACTCTTGGTGGACATGGTACTCCCAGAGTGCCAGTTCTTTAGGAGCAGCGATGACAGTCAGGGTGGCCAAATCTAACAGGGAGAGAGGATTGGTGAGAGGAGGGTAAAAGGTCTGTGGACAGCAGGACCACTGTGAGGGCGGCCGGAGGTTGCGAGGGGAGAATTCAGTAAGTTCCACTCGGAAGGTGTTAGCCACAAAAGGGGGAATTGGCGTCCCTTTGGGAATCCGGGGACTGTCGCCAAGCTTTGGTTGGGGGATGGCCCAGGTCTTTTGGATATAGAGCACCCACTGAGGACCATTTGCTATAAAGGTTTAGAGGCCCAAGGAGGAAGATTTTTGCAGGAATTTAAACTGTTGTACTGAAACAGTTTGACCCTGTAACCATTTGGGGGCCCAAGGATCCAGAATGGTGAATTTTAAAGGATTGCATTGTCCTTGGGGACATGACTGACAATTGGGAGGGGTAATCATTTTTCTTCTTATCTTTTGAGTTTGAGCTAGAAAGTCTAGGGCAAAAATGAAGGCTCCCTGGCCAACAGGTTGGGAAAGTAGGCGGTATGGTTCAGAACACCAGTGTCGTTCTTTTGACTGCCCCCCACAATCGATGACCCCCGGCCAGCCATAATGTTGGCAGGGGCAGGCATCAATGGTAATTGAGAGGGGGTGCCCTTTGGGTTCCCATCTCACTGCTTTAATCAAGCATTTTTGGGCATCAAACCTGTCATCCTTTGGCTTATAGACATATAACTCAAAGGTCCAATGACTGGTGGCCAGAAGGGGCAGAGGACATGGGAAGGAAAAGAGTAGGAGAGGGCGGAAAAAACCTACTCTAGACAGGATAAGATCAGAAAACCCTGTGCACCTAGATAACACATGAAAAGACAGTGTTTTTCCTTTTTGTTAGCAGGTGTCAGACAAATACCAAATATCAAAAGGGCACACAGAATTAATATCAAAACAAATGAAGCAGGGAAAGATATAGTTAATAAAGGGGCACAGTTACTCAGCCTCATGTATGACAGCCTATCGTGAGGTTTCAGCCGTGGGAGAAGGATGTTCTGCAGTCCTGGTCAGCTTAAGCCGGGTAGGTCCTAGAGAACAAAAAAACTGCAGGAGTGGTAGGGAGAGATTTAGGAAGACAAGAGTCTGCATGTTTTCTCAGGAGATGTCGGCATGAGAGTTCGAGAGACGGGCTGCAGAGGAGATCATCAACATGTTGGAGGACAGAGCTGGTGGTCAGGGAGAGGGATGTTAAATCAGGGACAAGGGCCTGTTGCTGCTGGAAGTGTAGAAGCTCCGAAGGGCTCATCTGCTCCAGCCACTGCCTTCCTACTGCCAGCACTGTCCCTGCCTGGGCCACTTGCAGTGGTGCCAGTAGCCCCAGTCCCGCCACCGCCATCTGCCTGCCCAGAGAGGCTGCCCATGCCTTTCTGTCCAGACAGAGCCGATCTGATTGTCTCTAAGGCTGATTCCACCATCATGTCGCTCCAGCAGGACCTGTCGGCCTGGTTCAGCCCGCGTGGGGCATGGGGCTTGCTCAGGTCGCCGCCTGCCCACTGCCGCCCTGGTGTCCTCCAGCGCTCTGCACCCTAGCCATGCCGGGGCATCACAGGCACCTCAGTGGGAGCTCGGCGCACCCCACCTCTGTACTGCCCCAGCCTCTGGGACCCTGGCATCTCCACCCCCAGCCCAGCCCTGGCTCCTCCCTGCCGCACCACACCCTCCTCACGAGCTGGGCTGTCCCAGCCGCTGCCACTTGCTCTGGGCTGCAGGGCTGCGACTGAGGGGGAGGAGTTATCCCACACTATTGGATCTATCACATCAGGCAGCAGTGGGAGGTTATGGCTATGCAGGTCTGGCTGGGGGAGGACCAGGATGAAAGCAGACTCAGCTATGGGTAATTGGAAAGAAACGGCTGCCTTAAATTTGGAGAGCAGATCCCTTCCCAGAATGAGGACGGGGCAACGAGGTAAAAGGAGAAATGACTGGGAGAAAGGGAGACCCTGTATGTGGCAAGACAAAGGCTCAGGGGCTAGCGGGGAGAAAACAAGTCCGTCAACTCCCTCAATCGAGACCCCTGAGGGATGCGTAGGTCCGGGGCATTCAGGAAAGGCAGAATAAGTGGCCCCAGTCAATAAGAAATGAGATTGGCTTACCTGCCACATGGATAGTTACCCTGGGCTCCTTTGATGTGATGGGCGAAGGGGCCAATGTCCCAGGGCACCGTCACTCTTCCATGGCTAGGTCCAACAGGTCAGGCAGAGCTGGACTGGATTTCCTCTTGGGGAGGAGGGGACTGGCCTTCCACACTGAGGGGAGGGAGGACAGTCTACCTTCCAGTGTCCCTTCTGTTTGCACAGAGAGCAGGGTCCTGACGGTGGTTTTGGGGACTGGCAGTCCCTACCCCAGGGGCCGGATTTCCCACATTTAAAACAGGGACCTGAAGGGATCTTTGTAGGTCCCCGCCAACTGGTCTGGGGAGCCTTGTAGGGCAGCAGCCAGTAGCTGGTATTTAGCCCGATCATGCTGGGCTTTTTCTGCCTTTGCCTGATCCTCGTGAACACTGAAAATTTTAAAAGCCATAATTAAAGTTCCCTCGGCCAATGCAGGATCAACTTTGGTGAATTTTTGGAGGGCCTCAGTTAAGTGGGCCAAAAACTGGGCTGTGTGGCCCACCTAATAATTCCAATTGGGGTCCTCCCAGGGGATGGCAGTAGTGCCCACAGGATTGGTATTATCTGCCTCGTGGACCTCATCTGTGTGTGCCTGGGCCACCAGCCAGACCCTCTCTTTCTCTTCTGGGAGGAGAGTGGAGGAGAGAATAACATAGAAATCATGCCAGGTGAGATCATAGGATTGGGTCAGATATCTGAATTTCTTAAGGTATGTATCGGGGTCTGTAGAGAAAAAACCTAAGCATTTTTCAAGTTGGGACAGATAGGTGAGGGAGAAAGGGACATGGGCCCTAATAACACCTTCAGCTCCCGCCACTTCACGGAGAGGCAGGATGGGGGTGAGGGAGGGAGCCGGCCACCCCGAGACCAAGTATGCAGAGGAGAGGGAAGGTCAGGGGCATGGGGATTGGTGGCAGGGTCAAAAGAAGGTTTGGGATCTGGGCAGAGAGGAGGCTTGGAATGGGCTAAGAGAATTTGAGAGGTGGGACAGGAGGAACACAAGGAGGGGCAAGAGCAGAGAGCGAAGAAGGCTTGAACATAAGGGATTTCAGACCATTTGCCATTGCAGTGACAAAAATTGTCCAGATTGCGGAGCGTGATAAAATCAAAAGTGCCATTCTCGGGCCATTGGGACCCGTTATCTAAGCAATAGTGAGGCCAAGCAGTGTTACAGTAAAAGATTAGCCATTTTGGCTTAACCGAGTCCCCAAGGCCGAGGGTCTTAATGTGTTTTAAAAGACAACCCAGGGGGGTGTCCCAAGGAGGCCATGACTGAGTGGTCCCCATTAGGTGTCTGCAAATTGAAAGAGTGAGGACAAAGGTTCCTAAGAAAAGGGGGTAGGGAAGGAGCATCCTCATTCCTTAATCCCTTTCCACAACTGAGGGCTAACCCAGCCCAGGGGTGAACCGTTCACCAGTCAGATGTCTCCGAGGTGGAGAAGGTACGGACTGTTCGGTCTGTCCGGTATCCGAAAGGCCACCCGGATGCTCCTGACCTAGTGCTAGGATTTTCCATGAGGCTACCAGAGCCCAAACTACAGGAGACCCAAAAGGGAGACCCTTGACTCACCCGTTGAAAGAATCAGGCCGGTGTTGGATGTGGCATCAGCAATGGCAAAGGACTGAAAGCCCTGGAGGTGTGTGCCCCGGTTCGGCAGCTGCAGGTCCGGGAAGGGGTGATAGGGAGTGCAGCTCCAGAGCCTGCAGGTCCCAATAGCGCCACCTCCCCGGGTTTCGGCACCAGAATGAAAAGTGCCGAAGAATGGGCACACATGAATGTTCAAGCAGCAAGCCTTTACTGGGGCAACAGTCTGCAGCCTGCCGGGCTGACTTACAGAAGGGAGACCAGCAGCAGCATGAGCTGAGCTGGAGGCTTATATGGGGTTTTGCAGGTGGGAGAGCACTAGTTCATTGGTGAGGATGGGTGATTGAGGCTGGGGCATGTAGCAACAAGTTTCGGTTGGGGGGATGGAGTAACCGTTTCCAGGAAACCCCTATCTTACGGGAACATCTGACCATGAAACCGGTGGGGCAGAAAGTCTCTAACTAGGCAGAGAGTCACTAACAAAAAGAGGTCATGCCTTAGTTATGCAGAAGTTCCCTATTCTCTGTAGCTGGAGTGGGGCAGGGGGAAAGGGGAGGAAGGTGCTTGCTTTGTGGGGGCTCTGAAATACCTAACGCCAGTGAGGCTGAAAAAAAAAAAAAACAACAATTCAAGAGATTCTGAAGAAGTAAAATTGTCATAACCCAAAGACTGACCAAGGGATAGAAGCACTGGATAGAAGGTGAGGATAACAAGGTTCATTACCTGAAGAATGGCATAAGAACCCACTGAGAAGAGAATGAAAGGAAGGCATCAAGTGACATAGATTCTTACTAAAATGTAAGTCACATCCTGTCATACTTGTGTTCTCATTCCTCTCCTGTCACCTCATCTCACTTGGGAAAACAGCCAACATTCTTGCAATAGACTGCAAGTTCTAGTATAATCAAACCTTTGGCTGTCCGATCTCATCTCCTACTCTTTCCATCTCTCTCACTCACCTTTAGATATGAGTTATGTCAGCCTCAGGGGCTTTTCATTTCAAACATATCTGAGGATTTGCTGTTGCAGAACATTCTACCCTAAGTGTGTACATGGTTTGCTCCTAGATTTCTATGAGACATAGGCACTTCTGTACTGTCCACCCACAGGAAATAAGCTCAAAGAAACTTGTCATTTTCCACAATTTCATACATAAAACTTTAACCTGGCACTGAATGTGGAACCTAAATACATTTATTTAATTAAGTAATTAATGTAGATTATATTGTTTTAGATATACCTGAAAAACTTTCAGGTAGAGCTACCCAGTAGGCAATAAGGATTAGAGCAACAGAGGTCACAAGGAAAAACAGGATGGAGACAGAGTTTGGGGTCATGGGGATAAGGGCACAGCATTCTTAGAAGGATTTGGAGTACAGGAAAGCATGGCAATAAAATATTAAGAGCCTAGACGAATAAACCACCTGGTGTGGGCTCAATCCTATGCCTGATACTTCTTTCCTAAATTTTTTGCACAAATTTTTAAAGCTCTCTATGCCTCAGTTTGCCCATCTCTAGCAACACACACCTCGGAAGACTATGGTAATATTTAAATGAGCTAATTCACTTAGAACAGTGCCAGAAAACATAGCAGGTAGAAAGTGCACAACAAATGAAACCAAGGGGAAATGGTGAGCAGAACCGCATTTTCTCTAGATAAGAGAAAGCGCATTCATATTGTGGCCACCAGAGTTCCTCCTCTGACAATTTCACTGCTCATCTCCTGTGCTCCATGGCAAGCTAACGGACAGAAATCTCCGTTTTTATGTATCAACCTCTTGTTACTGTTTTCCTTTTTCTTTTTTTGTTCTATGGTCTTATCAAAAGAAATTGCAAAACTTCCCTGCAGATACTCTGAATGAAGCATGGTACAGTATATGGGGAACAGAACAGTAGAGCAGAAAGTGCATGGGACTTTAGAGCCCAAAAACACTGAGCTTTTTTTTTTTCTATTTTCATTTTTTATTCACACATGTTTGGAGTCCCTAATGATTACATTCCTTGTGGAAAGTTGGTATAGTTACATAACGCATCTTAATTCTTTTTTCATCCCCTTCTTCTCCCCTCCTTCCCGGCACTCTCTAATTCTTGGTCCTCTTTTACAAAAGATCTATCTCCCTATTTCTATTTTCTATCTTTTGTTCTTTATATTTAAGGTTTTTCATATAAGAGAAGTCATGTGATCTTTAAATCTCTGTGTCTAATGTATTTCACTTAACACTATGGTAGGAGGGTACAATCATTTTTCTAGAAATAACTTGAGTTTATTTTTCTTTATGGCAGAGTGGTATTCCATTGTGCACAAATACCACATTTGCTTTATATATTCATCTGTTTACAGACACATAGGTCACTTCCAAGATTTAGCCATTATGTGCTGTGCTGCCATAAACGTGAGTATACATGTATCCCTATAATATGATGTCTTTAACTCTTTCAGGAACATACCTAGAAGGGGTATAGTTGAGTCAAATGGAATTTCTAGTTTCACTTTTCTGAAGAATCCATATGGGTGTACTAGTTCACATTCCCATCAATAGTGTAGAAGCATTCCTTTTTCCCCACAACCTTGCCAGCATTTGTTATTATTTGATATCTTGGTGATAGCATTCCTTCTAGAATAACATGGTATCTCAGTGTTGTTTTAATTTGCATTTCTCTAATGGCTGGCAATATTGAACATTTTTTCATGTATTTACTGGCAATTTGTACTTCTTCTGAAAAGTGTCTATTCATTTCGGTGGCCCATTTTATGACTTGGGGATCTAATTTTTTATATTCTAGACACTAGTCCTCTGTCCAAGGCATAGCTGGCAAAAAAAAATTTTGCCAATCTGTAAGTTGTCTCTTCTCTCTGTTGATTGTTTTCTTTGCTGTGCAGAAGTTTTTTGAATTGATGTGATGCTATTTGTTGATTCTTGGTGCTATTTCATGTTTAACTAGGTTTCTCTTCAGAAAGTCCTTGCCTACATCTATGTCTTCAAGAGTTTTACCTATTTTATCTTCAGCAGATTAAGTGTTTCTGTTTTAACATTTAGATCTTTGATCCATTTGACTTTAATTTAGTACATGGTTAGAGATATGGGTCTATCAGTGGTGGTAAACCTATGGCACATGTGTTGCAGCAAGCTGTTTACATCACTGAAAGCTCCAAAAGATTCATCATCATTGGTCTAGGTTCATTTCTGCATATAGATAGCCAGTTTTCCAAGCACTGTTTATTAAAGAGGCTGTCTTTCCTCCAGAGTAGGTCTTTGGACTATTTGTCACAGGTCAGATAGCTGAATTTGACTGAGGTTGTTTCTATACCCTCTGTTCTGTTCCATTTATCCATGTATCTGTTTTTGTGCCAATACCTTGCTGCTTCTATCATTGTAGCTTTATAATATAACTTCAAGTCCAGGATTGTGATACCTCCCACTTTGCTCTCTTTAGCCAGGATTCCTTTCCCTATTCTGGGTCTCCTGTGGTTCCAGATGAATTTTAGAATTGTTTTCTCCAGTTCTCTGAAGAAGGCTGTTAGTATTTTAATTGGGATTGCATTAAATCTGTATACCAATTTTGGAACTATGGCCATTTTTACTATAATGGTTCTGTTTATCAAGGAACAGGGGATATGGTTCCATTTTCTGATGTCCCCTTCTATTTCTCTTTTCAGTGTAGTATAGTTTTTGTTGCAGAGGTCTTTTATTCCTTAGTTAGGTTAATGCCTAAGTACTTCATTTTTTGGTGCTATTGTAAGTGTTTTTTCCTAATTTATTTCTCAGTGGGTTCATTATTAGTGTATAGGCATGCTACTGATTTCTGTGTTCTGCTACATTACAGTAGACTCCTAGAGCACCTGAGAATTGTGAAAAAATGCAAATTTCAGATATGGTCAGAAAAATGCCTATAAATGCCTACTTTTGCAGTTTAAACTCTAAATATGCTAAATCCCCCACAGTTATGTAATTTAATAAAATACTGTAAACAATGCTGTAATAATTTAATTTAATGAAAATGCTATACAGTAGTTCAGCCTTCTCTTGGAGTGTCAAACTTCTTCTGGTGCTTAGGTTCATAGCCAGAAGCCTCAGAAGATGCAGGATATTTTTGTGGCATCTTAGGGATCTTAGGGCTTTAAGAACAACAAAACTGAGAACATTCCAGATAGCTACAAGTGGTACAGCAACCTATCTTGATGCAGGAATGCTGGTGCATCTGCCAGGGATGGGTTACAGGGCAGCAGCCAATCACCAGTAAGGAGAACTGAATACCACTCTCAGATTGGCTACTTGCAAAACTTCCGCCAAAAAGACAATTGTGGAATATATTTGCGGTTGCCAGGGAAATCGCAGGGGGTTCTGTGAACAATTGTTAGTTAGGTTCTAAGGAAAAATCCATGAACAACTGAGACCACAAACAACTGACACCATGAACTCTGAACCACAACTTCGCGGGCGTATACTGTATATTGTTTAGTCTCAACACATTTGCATAATTTCTGTGTTTTCTTTTGTCATTGATTTCTACTTTCATTGTGCTATGATTTGATATATGCATGGTATAGTTTTAATTCTTTTACATTTATTTAAGCTTACTTTAATGGCTAACAGGCAGTCTGTTTTGGAGTAAGTTCCATGTGCTGCTGAGAAGACTACTCTCTTGTTGGGTGGACACTGTAGATACCTAGCATTAAATCTATTTGTTCAAAGGTTTTATTCAACACTGATATTTCTTTGTTGATTTTTGTCTAGTTGATCTATTTGTGACACTGTGGTATTGAAGTCACTCATTATCATTGTGTTTATTTTTATCTGCTCTTTTATGTCCAGTAGTAGCTATTTTATGAAGTTGGGTAGGCCATAGTTTAGTGCATATATGTTAGTAATTGCTACTTCTTCCTGTTAGATTGTTCAGTTGGTCAGTAAGTACTGTAGTGATCTTTTTTGCTTTTTTGATCAGTTTTGGCTTGAAGTCCACTTTGAATACAGGTACCTATACTTGCTTTTTTGAGGGGTTCTCCATTGCATATTGTTACCCAGCCTTTGGTTCTTTTTGGATTACATGTGTTTCTTGTATACAGCATATTATTGGATTTTGTTTCTTGATCTATCCCACTAATTTGTCTTTTGACTGGGGAATTGAGCCCGTTAACATTGAGAATTATTACTGAGAGGCACTGACTTATTCCTGTCATTACCTTATTTTCCTATTGTTGATTTCCTATCTTTCCCCTCTACTTAACTGTTCACTCTACCTGGTGTATTCATTCTGTTAGACCTTTTGTC